GTTCTCTCCCGGCTCCTCCCACGCCCCTCCTCCCAATGACAACCCCCCCCCAACCCAGCCAATGAGCCGGCGGGCCCGCGGGGAAAGGCCGCAGGCGTGTGTTAGGGTCCCGGGGCACCGGGAGAGCCCCCTCCTTGCGGGAGGGGTTCGGCCAAGTTGGGAGGAGGACCGACACCTCGGAGGCGGGAGGGGCCGAGACCGGGAGAAGTCGTGATGGAGAGACTCGTCGCTTTGACAATCTCGTGTCGACTGCGTCAGCTTGGAAGTCGGCTTCCCATTCATAACCTGCTTCGCCTCCGACCCCCTTTCACGTGTCCCGCACGCATTCGCCGAGCCTCTCCCGTGTGCCTGGCACCGTGCTGGGAGCTGGAGCAGCCGCAATTAAGAATGCTGGGTCTGGGCCGGGCGCCTGTCATCCTAGCTGCTCAGGAGGCTGAGATCTGAGGATCAGAGTTTAAAGCCAACCCGGGGAAGCAAAGTACGTGAAACTTTTTTTTTCTTTTTTGTAGGTCATGGGGCTTGAACTCTGGGCCTGGGCGCTGTCCCTCAGCTCATCAGCTCAAGGCGAGTGCTCTACCACTTGAGCTACAGTGCCACTTAAAGTTTCCTGGTGGTTAATTGGAGATAAGAGTCTCACTGACTTTCCTACCTAGGCTGGCTTTGAACCTCGATCCTCAGATCTCAGCCTCCTGAGTAGCTAGGATTACAGATGTGAGCCACAGGCGCCTGGAGACTCAGCTCAGGGACAGCGCCCAGGCCGAGTTCAAGCTCCATGACCGACAAAAAAAGAAGAAAAAGAAAAGAATGTTAGGTTTACAGCGAGAATCAGAGGGCAAAAACCTATGGCCCTGGCTCTCTATTTACTTCCGTGGAATTTCTTAGAGAAATTGGTTAATCTGTGTCAAGTTCCCAACCTGTGTCAGTTTCCCCACCTGTGAAGGGAAACAATCCTGGGGAGGATGTGTATGGGGGGGTGGGGTGGAGGGGGGCATCCTGGAGCTTGAACTCAGGGCCCAGGCATTGTACTTGAATTTTTGTACACCAGGCTAGTGCTCCACTTCTGGCTTTTTTGGTGGTTAATTGGAGATAAGACTCTCACAGACTTTCCTGCCTGGGCTGGCTTTGAACCACCCTCCTCAGATCTCAGCCTCCTGAGTAGCTGGGCTTATAGGCTCAAGCCACAGGCAGTGTAGGACCCTTGCTTACGCCGAAGGATCTTTATAAAGGATCTTACACAACTAAGTGAATGAATGCTTGTTATTTTACAACAACTTACTAGTTATTGCACTCCTTCAGTAAATATACTTACTTCATTCTTTGGCTGAATCTGGAATCTCAAGAAATAGGATGTGAATTCCAGTTCAGCCAGATGTCTGATCTTAGGCAATGAGCTTAACATATTTGTGTCAGTTTCATCACCTGAAAAATGAGGTAGTCAAGATTGACTTTTTGGTATTGATGTATAAAAAGAGATACTGTATGTGAAAATTATCTGGCTCAGAATGAATATTGGCTAACATTGTTATTTAGGGCAGATTCTTTGGTTCTACTTCTCTCTGCAGGACTTCTATTTTTGCAGCGTTTTTCCTGTGTGATAGCCAGTTCAGTGTATGGACACTCGGGCCTTTGAAGTTTCTGAGGCCTTCCTTTCTGAGGGTAAAATAGGCCAGTGGGGCAGGGAGGGACTATGTGTGTTGAGCATGTGATCAAGTCATGACTTCGTCCTCTGACCTCTACTGACCCCAGGACCTTGATCTCTGACCTGGAGCATCCAAGTTCCACAGCACTCTTGCCCAGAGGTTCTCACTGGCCTTAGTTGTTGTTCTACCCTTCCAGGCTCCAAGCCTTCCAGAGAAGAGAGTCCTGTGCCTGAAGGGCAACAATTAACCTCCTTTCCTTCTCTTTAGGGGTCAAAGCAGAGGCTGTTAAGTCAGGATGTGACCCAGCTCCCTGGAGGCCTGGGGGAGAGGGGTCCTGGTGACCCCTGGTAGGGGGTGGTTCTCAGAGAAGCCTGGGTACTTGGGTTAATCATCTCTGTGGCTCAGATAAGGCCCTGCCAGCTGGAAGCAGAGTCCAGAGGAGTTTGTGTCTGAAGAAGGAGACAGGACAGTGTATTCACAGTACAACAGGACCATGCCTGGCACAAAGCGGTTTCAACATGTGATTGAGACTCCGGAGCCTGGCGAGTGGGAGGTGAGACCCCTGTTCTTTTGTTTGTTTTAGTTTTTGAGACAGGGATGTGTACCCTGAGCTGGTTTTGAACTGATCATCCTCCTGATTCAGTCTCCTTAATGGAGACCAATTGGGCTTTGAACTCAGGGCCTTGAGCTTGCTAGGCGGGCTTTCTACTACCTAAGCCTCAGCCGTATCTTGCTTTAGTTACTTTTCAGGTAGAGTTCCTGTTGTTGCCCAGTGCCCACATAAGTGGGGTGAGAGTCATGAACTGTGATGCTTGCACTTGCTGCTTCTTGATTCCTAGCGTCATTTTGTTTGTTAGGTTTCTTTTCACTCTAGGTTTCTGCTTCCTCCTTCCTCCTTCTTAGCCTCTCTCATGATCTTCCTTCCCAAGTGCGTACTAAGGCTGTGGTATGTGAGCGGTGGTGGTAGTGGTGGCAAGTGTCCAAACAATGTGCCTCCTGCCACTCTCTCCGGTTCAGGAAGCATGAAACAGCCTTTGGCTTCCTGCCCCCAATCATGTTCTCCCCTCTTTTCTAGTTGTCTGGGTATGAGGCAGCTGTACCAATCACAGAAAAGTCAAATCCACTGACTCGGGACTTGGACAAAGCAGATGCTAAGAAAATTGTTGAATTGCTGGGGCAGTGTGATGCTGAGATCTTCCAGGAGGAAGGGCAAGCCATACCTGCATACCAGGTGACACAGTCCGGTCCCCTGCACACTGCAAACCCCATTCCCCCGACACCTCTCCTCTCCTAGACCATGGCTCCTGATTTTGGAAGCCCCGATAGTCCTCTCCTCTCCCATCCCAATCAACCATCCTGCTTTTCTTGCTTCTGAATCCTGCCTGTTTCCTACAGCG